AAAAAAAAAAAAAGAGATCCTTCTACCTCAGCCTTCCATGTAGCTGAGATTATGGGCTCAAGTGACCATACCAGGCTAGTTCCCAAGTTTTAGTCTTAGCTCTCCTTTCTGAAGCTACCTCTTTAAGAGCAGGGATCTCATTTTCTCCCACCACACCTAAAGCCCTAACGTGGGGCTAAGCATCCAGTCCACCCTCTGAAGATCTGGTTGGACTGATGTGTAAACTATGTGATGTTTCTAAGTCCTAAACCCCCAGGGGACAGCCCATTCATTCATTTCACAAATAACGTTTATTGTGCACTTTCTATGTGCCAGGTACTATTTTAGGCCTTAGGGATAAAACAATGACTAAAACAAAGGTCCTTATCCTTCTGGACCTTATATTCTAGTAGGGGTATGTTAGATATAAATGCTAAGAAGAAAAATAAGGCATGGAGAGGGGATAGGAAATATTGGGAGATGTTGTCATTTTAGACTAGGGAGGAGCTCACCCAGAAGGTGACATCTGTAAAGACCTACAGTAGTTGAGAGCAGGAGCCATCCATCCTCTTGCCTTTGGGCAGGACAGCTCACCTCTCTCCAGGGACTTTCACTTGACCTCACAGTGGGTCTGCTGATTCAGAATAGAGTTATGAAGTCATTGACACAACAAATCAAACATTACCCCCACCCCAAGACTTCATAATAAACTAATTCATACTAAGTTATTTGCAACTATTCATGCAGAACCCCTGAGTGAGGAGAGCTAAATTCTGAAAAGTCCCTTGAGAGAATGCCTTATCTGAGGAAGGAGCTTATGGCTTATGGGATGGGAACCACCCCTCCTCCCTGCCTCTCTCCCCCACAGAAATTGAGTCTCACATTATAAAGCAAGAAGATATACTTAATGGCAAAGAGAATGAGATTAAGGAGTTGCAGCAAGTTATCAGCCAGCAAAAACAGATCTTCAGGTGAGGGGTCTGGGCCAGGCTGGGGGTTGTTGATGAAAGTAGGGAGCCAGACCTCTGGCCCCTACCCTGTGCTATCCACAGCCCACAACCAGCAGGCTCCATTGCAGGAATCATATGTCTGACTGCCGGATCCAGAAGCAGCAGGAGAACTACATGGCCCAGGTGCTGGACCAGAAGCATAAGAAAGCCTCAGGGTCTCGTCAGGCTTGCAACCACCAGCGTCTCAGGGAAAAATAAAATGGCCGTTATCTTCCTATTTTCTGGATATAATGCCCAACTTCTGCCTTCTGTGCTTCGGGGAGTCCCATTCCTTCTCTTCCTATCTCTGTGGTCCCTTGGCCATAGACCTGACCTCCAGGGAAAGAGGCAGCAGGCACTTCTATCTGCCTGCCTGCCTACCTCCTGGACCCTAGAGACCTGAGAAGCAAATCTCCTGGGAAGGGTGGAGGACAAGCCTTGCACCACCACCTGTTAGGTCACTTCTGGGCTTAGAAGGGGATGCTGCTCAAGCCTCCAGCCCCTGTTACTTCCCAACCCCTGATAGGGATCCATGGGAGTGGGGATTTGTCTACTAGGCACTGCTTCTTACTTTTGGTATTTAATCCCCTTCCTATATTACAAACCTGGTTATCCATTAACATCCCATCCCACTTCCAGTGCCCTTGTAAATTTAACTCTCAAGTTGGCTCCAAGGAAGGAAGGGTTGTGTGTGTAAGAAAGAGAACCCTGTCCAGAAAATCCAAAGACTGGTGGGTTCCAAGACCCCAATGAAAATGGGAAATCACCTTCCATAACATAAGAATGTCATAGCCATGAATCACATTTTCATCTTCTTACACGTCCCCTAAACAGAAGGTCATCTGTCTTCACAGATGGGAGAAAAGGAAAAAGACAGTGCTGTGTCTCTTTTTTAAAGGTGGGGAAGGATCTGGGAAGGGACCACCACTTGCTCAAGTTGCACAGGCAGGGCTGGATGTGATAGGCAGACTAGATTCTTTTCAGAAGCCATCACTGAGTGTGCCATAGGTGATTATGGGACACATCCAGGCAAGGAACTGCTTCAGGAAGGGAAGACGATTTGCCAGATCTGTCCTCTCCTGGGTGGTTGTGAGAATGGGTGCACAGGAGGGGCCAGTGCTCTTTCCTCTGGACCAGCTGAAGCCTGAGGCACAGCAGGACCTAGAAGCCAGAAGTTTAAGAGCATGGGGTGCCCATTGTCCTCAGACAATGACAGTTGGTGGCAGCTTGTCCACCAGCACCTATCCCCAGGGCAGGTCTTAAGGTTCTGGAAGGCCCCTGTGAGTGCCTGGGGGGACGACTACAAGGTTCTGGGGCTTGTTCTGGGCAGCTTATCAAAGCTAGAGCTGTCCACTCCAACCTCTTTCAATAGATCCCACTAAGGATAATGAGCCCAGCCAGGGATAGCACCTTCCTGAGGCCCCAGGACAACTTCTGGAGTCGGAGGAGTCCTCAAGCCTGCCTTCCCTTCACCTGCGGGTCAGCCAAAGCTGTGCTCTGGCCTATTCCCGCAGTGGTTGGCTGGGCTTGGGGGATTGAGTGGGTAAGGCAAAGGGCCCAGTTCTCTCTTGCTGTCACTCCGGTAATTCCGGAGTGGATGCGGCCGCTTTAAGGCGCGGTGACCCCACGGCATCCTCAGGCGGGGCGGGGACAGTACAAGCGCCACCAGCGGAGACGAATGTGAGGGTGGTAGTGCACGGTGTCCGGTCCCACCATGCTGACCGCGCTCGCCCTGCCAGCGGTGCCTGGGATCCCGAGGCAGCTGCCCACGGCCCACGCGCAGCGCCAGGACTCCTCCGGTTCGTCAGGCTCCTACCACACGGCTCCGGGTTCTCCAGAGCCCCCGGACGTTAGGCCGGACGCGGAAGACCGAGTGAATTGGCCCTGGGTGGCCCCGGGGCGGGGGGCGGGCGCGCAGCCTCGCCTGTCCGTCAGCTCCCAGAATAGCCGCCAGCAGCACTGGCCCGGCTCGTATTTCCCTGGAGGCTCGGGCTCCGGCCCGCGGCCACCGCAGCCCCAGCTGCGCACGCTGCCGTCGGGGGAGATGGAAGTCATCTTCGGCGTCGGGCCCCTGTTCACCCGCTCCGCCGCGGAGGATCTGGAGGTGCAGCAGCTCATGGAGCCGGCCTTTGGCAGCCCCTTGCCGCCAGGGCCAGAGTCTCCCACCCCTGTCCCAACGCAGCCCAAGGCCCTCGACGGTGGCTCTCGCTGGGCCACATACCTGGAGCTGCGTCCCCGGGGACCGAGTCCCGCCGCCCCAACGCAGTTTGAGTGTGTGGAGGTGGCGCTGGAGGACCACACCGTGCCCGCCAGGCCCCGGACTGTGCCCAAGCGTCAAATCGAGCTGCGCCCCCGGCCCCAGAGTCCCCCGCGGGTGGCTAGCGCGCCATGCCCGCGGCTACTCCTGCGTACCGGCTCCCTTGACGAGTCACTGAGTCGACTGCAAGCCGCGGCGGGCTTCGTACAGACAGCTCTGGCCAGAAAACTGAGCCCCGAGACCCCAGTGCCTAGTAGCGCCGCCTTCGGGCCCACAGGACAGTCGGAACCTGAGACCCAGGAAACGTCCCGCGGCACCCGTGTGGTCCCAGAGAAGATTAAGTCTCAGCCACTCCGCATACAAGATAGATTGGCCCCGGTCAAAGCCCCGCGACCATGGCCCAGCCTCCGAGAGCGAGCGATTCGGCGCGACAAGCCCACTCCCGGGACGGAACCGCTGGGTCCTGTTAGTTCTAGCATCTTCCTGCAGTCAGAAGAGAAGATCCAGGAAACGCGCAAGACTCGGTTCCCGCAAGAGACTTCGGATCGAACGGTCCGGAGGGTACGGTGTCCGCCTATCGAGTCTGGAGCCCCCTGGGAGGGTCCCAGTAGGACTGTGAGGCCAAGAAGCCCATCCCCGCAGTGGCAGGCTCCAAATGGGACTGTGCGAGGGCCTCGCTGCCCATCCCCCCAGAACCTGTCCCCGTGGGATCGGACCGTACGTAGGGTGAGTAGTCCGTCGTTCCCAGAAGTATCCTCCGCGTGGGAAAATCAGAATCCCCCAGTCGAAGAAACCGTCAGGAGGAGAAGCCCTACACCTCCGACCCCTTCCCAGTGGAATCAGGGTGTGGCTAGGGCAAGCAGCCCATCCCGCGAAGCTCCTTCCCAATGGGAGATTGTACGTCCCGCAGGTGGGTGTGCAGAAGAGCCAGATAGAAACTCGTCCCCGCCGGCCTTGCTCCCCTGGGAAGCTCCAGGTCGGCCTATTGGTACTTGGAGCCCATCGCCCCAAGAGAAGTGGGATCCCATGGTGCACAGCTCATCCGTAGTATTTACACGCGAAGCTCAGAAGAACGTAGATCAGGAGGAGTTGGTATCATCTACCCCATCCGCTCCCGGGACTCCAGTACCAACAGAAGTGCAGAGTCCATCCACGCAGGAGATTCCAGATCTTCCCTTTCGAGGCAGTCAGTCATTGCCAGAGGCAGCTGCACCTGGGCCGCCCTGCAGTCACCTTGTGACCACCCTGGACGTTGATGAGCGTCCAGAAGCCTTGGCCCATGAAAAAGCGGCCTCGGTACGTCAGCGCGTGGCCATTCCGCGGCCCCGAGATGTGCGCAAGATGGTGAAGACCACATACGCGCCAAGCTTCCTGGCGGGAAGCCCTGGCTCTGGGCTGCCTGCGCCTCCTGCTGACCCCTGCGGGGAGGAGGGTGGCGCATCCAAGACACAAGAGCTTCAGCCGCTAGGGCCCCCAGCCCCAGCTCACTACACTTCCATTTTCCTTAAGGACTTCATGCCGGTCGTACCGCACCCCTACGAGCCTCCAGAGCCGCCCCTTGACATAGTCCCCCGGGACGCCTCGAAACCCAACGGGGTCGTGCGGCGGAGGGCAGAGAACACCACGGCAAAACCCTTCGCGCGCACAGAGATCCGCCTGCCTGGTGCCTTGGCCTTGGGCCGCCGGCCCGAGGTAAGCCCTGGAGTCCGAGTGCTTGGTCTTGGCGGAGAGAACCGGGATTCAGAGACCCAGCGCCTCGTCCCCGACGGCGAGGGTCGAACGAGCCCTCTAGGCGGCGCTCGCAGCTCATCCCAGCGGTCCCCCGTAGGGGCCCGACCACTCCTCCCCAGCTCCCCACAGGCACACCCCAACTCGAGCCCTGAGACAGCACCCAAACTGGAGACACCTCCTGAGGCCCCCGCGCCCACAGCTGCAGTCCAGGAGCCCCTGTCGCAGGAGCCCCAGGCGTCAACCGGCAGAAGGGTCCCTGCCCAGCCTCGAGCTGCCTCGGCGCCTCCTACCGACCGGTCCCCGCAAGGCCCCTCCCAGTGGCTGCGCAGGCCACCCGGGGCCGCTCATCCGGGGAAAGTCCTGGTGGACCCGGAGAGCGGCCGCTACTACTTTGTGGAGGCTCCGCGGCAGCCTCGGCTGCGTCTGCTCTTCGACCCCGAGAGCGGGCAATATGTGGAAGTGCTGCTGCCATCTGCGTCTCCCGGGCCACCCCGTCGCGTCTACACCCCAATGGCCCTGGGGCCCAGCCTCTACCCGCCCGCCTATGGTCCTATCCATGGCCTTTCACTGCCGCCGTCCCCGGGTCCCTCAGCCCTCAACAGCCCCCAGCTACCATGGGCCTCTGAGGCAGGACCCTTGGACGGAATGTACTACCTTCCAGTGAGTGGGACCCCCAGCCCCACACCTCCTCTGCTCCTCTGTGCCCAGCCCTACAGCTCCGGTACCACCCAGCCGGGCAAGGGCTCCTTGTTCCCGTTGTGAGACACCAGGGCCTTATCTCCATGGAATTGGGGCGCTGGGATGGCCTTGGAGGTTCTGCCACCGGGTCCCTTGCCCTCCTTTCCTTCCATCACCCCTTCCTTCGCTTATTCCAGCCAGTTGTCAGACCAGAAATGACCTTCAATGAAAATGTCTGAGACCTAGAGCTAATGAAGCTGGGGCTCAGGAAGTGGCTGCCTACTTCCTCCCTCAACAAAATTGTATATCCCTTTCCCAAGCATTCCCAGGATGTGATGTGTATGTTTGTGTATGTGCAGGCAAGCAAATATGTAAAAGTGAAGAGTCCCAGGGCTTGTCCCCAGGAATCAATCAAAGGAGGTGTTGGGGTCCCCCAGGGGGCAACAGGAATGGGAACAGCAGAGAACAAGGGCTGTCTCCATGGGCACTGAATTGTCTTTCCCTCCCTGAAGGGAAGTGGAGCAGGCCATCTGCCACTGGTAAAAATGGAAGGGAAGGACTCCTGCTATTCAATATGCTTTTTTGGGAGAGGACCTGAATTTTGGCCTGGGAGGCTGTGGGGGAAAAGAGACTAGTACAGCCACAGGCCAGGCTGGGGCTGAGAGAGGGAGGTGAGGGGACAGCAAGCAGAGATGGAGTGAGGACGTAATACAGGGAGGGGCTGTGGAGGCTGAACCTGGCATTTGGGGTGGGAGAGCGAGGTGTAAGGTGGGCCCAGGTGACTGTGATCTCCAACTGGGAGCCTAACTCCTGAAGCCTCCAATCATCCCCAGTCTCTCACTTGGCTTCTGCTCTGAGCCTCAGAGCTGAACTGGCTCATCCTGGGAAAGGGGCAAGGTTTCAGCCATTCCCACCCAAGTAGACTGCAGTTGAAATGAGTCATTAGGAAGGACTTAGAAGAGGAAGGATGGTTGGACTGTTGTCCCAGGGAGCTTTGACCCCTGGGGGGATGGATAATGGTTAGAGCTGGCAGTAAAAGGGATATCCTTGTCTGAGGCAGGTCGAGGGACCTGAAGCTGCCAGCTGGTCTCACTCCCCTGTAAGCAGACAGTCACAGCACAGGAAGGGACAGGACCCAGAGCCTGTGCTTTGGTTGCCCTCAGATTCACAAATCTCTGAGGAGGGTTCAGGGAGATGAGGAGGGATCTGCACGAGATGGGAGATGGTCTGTGTATAGTTCTGAGCTTGAAATGGCTGAGCCTTGTTGGACTGGTGTGTGGCATGATGAGTTTGAGGAGGACAATTACTATTAAAAGCACTCTCTGGGATGAGGATCAATGCTGTCCTTTTCCAGAGCTGTGGGAGGCCAGGTGCCTTCAGAGTCTCTGCCCCCCTGCCTGGACTGCAAGCTGACTAGAAATATGAGACAGAATAACCCAGAAATCTCTTGGCTTAAGATTCTGGTTCTGAATGGCATGGAAGTCCCTGGGGCCACCTCAGGTGTCTCACCTCATCCTGGTATGAAATAAATAAATCGCTGACCCATGGATGGGTAAAATCACTGGTGTAAGGTGCCTGATTTCCTGCCCTTTCATACCTGGGTGGAAGAGACCTTAGGACCAGAGAGGGTTGCCATATGTGCTTTTCACACACTGTGGGGGTACCCACCCCAGTGAGCTTGTCCCCCAGAAGGGAGCCCTAGGCTAGCAAGCACACTTGTGGCCTTATTCCTTCAGGTAGGTTTAGTGGCCAGGGGGCTTTAGTCAGGCTTGGGTTATTTATTTAGTTATATGTTTATATAATTTGTGTCGTTGTTGCCCAGGCTAGAGTTGCCCAGGCTGGAGTATCGTAGTGTCATAGTTTATAGCAACCTCAAACTCCTGCTCACTCTGTTGCCCAAGCTAGAGTATCATGGAATCATAGTTTACAGCACCCTCAAATTCCTGGGCTCAAGCAATCCTCCTGCCTCAGCCTCCTGAGTAACTGGGACTACAGGTGCCCACGATGCCTGGCTAATTTTTTGATTTTTAGTAGAGACAGAGTCTCACTCTTTCTCAGGCTGATCTGGAAGTCCTGAGCTCAAGCAATCCACCCACCTTGAGCTCCCCAGATGCTAGGATTATAGGCATGAGCCAGCCCGCCCATTCAGGCTTGAGTTTCAGTCTCATGTGGCCTTGGGTTTATCACTTCCCTCTGAGCCTTTGTGTCTTCAGGAAAAGAATAAAAATAACAGTAACCAACCACTTTCTCCCACAAGGTGCTCAGCATAGTGCTTATCACATGGCAGATCACAGGACATGGGCGGTATCGGCCCACATGTGTCCTTGCTCAAGCCTGGCTGCTCTCTTTGCCTCACTGTTCTTTATCTGTGAAATGGGACTGAGTTGGCCAGAGCTGGGTTCTGCTAGAGGAAGTGCACACGTGGCATCTCTGGAGCTCTGGGGGAGGGGAGAGAATGGGAGGAATGAGGTGTGAGTTCCCCATTGGTCGAGACTGGGTGTCCTGTGGTAGTCCCCACTGCATGCATGCACATGCATACCTCCAACCCAGCCATAGCCCAGGCTTGCTGAACTGGCTCCAGAGGCCATGAGGCTGTCACTGCCATTGTTGCTGCTGCTTCTGGGAGCTTGGACCATCCCAGGCAGCCTTGGGGACAAGGACCAGTTCATGGCCACTGCCCCACAACTGGATGATGAGGAGAAGTACTCAGCTCACATGCCTGCTCACCTGCTCTGTGACGCCTGCAAGGCCGTGGCTTACCAGGTGAGTCCTTCTCCCTATCTGGCCCCCTACCCTGCCCCTGTGCCCAGGGGTCACAAGCCAGACCCTTCCACCTACCACAGATTCCACCACTGGCCTTTGATCTCCAAACACCAGATTCAGCCTTCCATGGTATTACCATCATCACCTCATCTGAAACTCCATGCCTCGGTTTACCCATCTGCCTGCCCAACAGAAAGCAGACAACCTGGGACAGCCTCATAGTACCTCATCCCAGGGAATCACTTGCTTATCCTTTCAGACTCCTCCCTTTCCAAGCCCATCCTCAAGTCCAGACTCCCTCTCCAAATCTGACTCAGGTTCCTTCATTTATGTGTACGTGATGCCCATGTGCATGTGTGTTGAGTGCCTGCATGTGTGAGTATGCGTGGTCTGAGTTCACACATATACTGGTGAGCATGCCTATGTGCCAGTATCTCTGTGTACGCAGGGCCTGTGAGTGCTGAAGCCACTGAATGTTAGGGGTTTTTTCCCCCTTGTTCTTGTGTTTTATTTTATTTTATTTTTATTTTATTTTTATTTTTTTTGAGACAGAGCCTCAAGCTATCCCCCTGGGTAGAGTGCCATGGCATCACAGCTCACAGCAACCCCCAACTCCTGGGCTCAAGCGAGTCTCCTGCCTCAGCCTCCCAAGCAGCTGGGACTACAGGCGCCCGCCACAAAGCCTGGCCGTTTTTTGGTTGCAGCCATTATTGTTGTTTGGTGGGCCCGGGCTGGGGATTCAAACCCGCCACCTTAGGTATACGTGGCTGGCGCCTTAGCCGCTTGAGCCACAGGCACCGAGCCTGTCCTTGTGTTTTAAAATAGCATATGTTCTCAGTCCTATAACTTATAGATTTGAGGGTTAAAAAAAAAAGGGCAAATAAATAGAAAAAGGGGCTGGGCGTGGTGGCTCACATCTGTAATCCTAGCACTCTGGAAGGCCAAGGTGGGTGGATTGTTTGAGCTCACGAATTTGAGACCAGTCTGAGCAAAAAAGCAAGACCCTGTCTCTCAAAAAAAAAAAAAAAAGAAAAGAAAAGAAAAAACCTGAGGCACAAGAATTGCTTGAGCCCAAGAGTTTGAGGTTGCTGTGAACTAAGACACCACAGCACTCTATCCAGAGTGACGGCTTCAGACTCTGTCTCAAACAAACAAAAAAAAAAAAATAGAAAAAGAATACTAAAATAGCATTTGCTCTGGGCAGGTGTCCCCTGAAGTAGGGGTCTCAGTGCTTGTGCCTAACATTCCACCTCAGCATTTCTACCCCCAGCTCCCACCCTAGAGAAGTGAATACTGCCACTTTCCAGCTCTTGGGTCTAGGGGCAGCCCATGCGGCCTGCCTCACAGGTGCTTCCTGCTCAAACTGCTCCCTGCTACCTCATTCTCCCCAGAGATCCCTGCCCTCCTCCCTCTAAGCAACAGTCCTAAGACTCTGGGTTTCAGCCCCTGTTTGTTCCAGATGTGGCAAAATCTGGCAAAGGCAGAGGCCAGACTTCATACCCCAGACTCTAAGGGACGGCAGAAGCTGAGTGAGTCGGTATACACAGACATCTTGGACTTGAGCTGCTCCCAGAAGTGGCAGGAGTGAGTTGCCAATCCCACCACTACCTCCCTCCTTCCTGGGCAGGATTGATGGGTGGAGATCCCACTCTCCACTCACACTACACACACACTCCACTAGGGCTTAAGTCCAAGGGAGGGGCTGGCTGGGATGAAGTCTGGGCTCTGGAGCTGGGAGCAAGTAGAACAGAAGGCCCGCAGACAAGGGGTGACCTTAGGCTAGGGGATTTCCCTCTCAAACTCAGCAAATGCCCAGTGTGCCCAGATTGAAGAGACAGGTCCTTCCTTGCTGGGCTCCCGCCAATGACAAAACCTCTTCTCCCCACTGCTACCAGCTATGGTGTCCAAGAAGTAAACAAAGTAAAACGTCTTGTGGGCCCTGGGCTTAGCAAGGGGCCAGAGCCAAGCATCAGCGTGATGATCACAGGGGGCCCCTGGCCCATCAGGTGATGATGGGATGGAGTAAGGGTTGGGATGGAGGTTGGTTTGCCCCTCTGTGTGCTGGGCAGAGTCTGAGGCTTCTGCTGGGCTCCCCTAGGCTTTCCAGAACATGTTTGCACTACTTGGGGGAGTTTGGAGAAGACCAGATCTATGCAGCCCACCAACAAGGCCGAGAGGTTCTGGAGGCGTTGCTGTGTGGGGGTCCCCAGGGGGCCTGCTTGGAGAAGGTACCAGTCACAAGGGAAGAGCTCTAATCCTAGACTCCATCTTCCTCAGGAAGAAGCTGGGGCTTCCTGTGGATCTTTTCCATTCCTATCTGCAGGCTTCCAGGAAGGCAGGGAAGCCCTGCTCAGTGCTGCCACTCTCTTTCTCCTCCAGCATCAGGCACTGGGGCAGGCTGTCCCCTCTGGATTCAAATAAAACCCAGTGACCTCGACTCCTTCTCTCTGCAAAAATTGCTTAGGGGGCTGGGAGGACAGATATTGGTGTTTTTGATCATGTCCTTTCTGAGGGAAAAACAAAACCACTTACAGTGTTTTTCCTATTCTCTCTCTCACAGTAATCAACACAGATGATTTTTATGACCAAATGTGTGGAGCCTGTTCTCCACAAACCAAGAAAGCAATCAGTTCTACAGTGGACATCTGCTTGATGTCCTCCAATTCAATTCTGACCCCATCTACATGGAGATAGCATCAGATCCCATAGGCTGAGGGCTCAGTTTCCCCAAACTGCACCCCATTCAAATGTCAGTAGGAAATCTGGGCCTCCAGAACTTCTGACTAACCAGCTTCACAATGGGATTCCCATGCCCCTCCTCCTGCCCCCTCTTTGGGATCCATTAATTTGCTGAAACCACTCACAAAACACTTAGATTAACCAGCTTATTTTAAAGCACATTATGGGGCAGTGCCTGTGGCTCAGTGAGTAGGGTGCCGGCCCCATATACTGAGGGTGGCGGGTTCAAACTCGGCCCTGGCCAAACTGTAACAAAAAATAGCTGGGTGTTGTGGTGGACGCCTATAGTCCCAGCTACTCAGGAGGCTGAGGCAGGAGAATCGCCTAAGCCCAGGAGTTGGAGGTTGCAGTGAGCTGTGACTTCACAGCACTCTATCAAGGGCAATAAAGTGAGACTCTGTCTCTACAAAAAAAAAAAGAAGAAGAAGAAGAACATTATGAAAGATACAAATGAAGGGAAGAGTAGGGAGGGGCATGGGGGAAGAGGCTTCTGTATCTTCTTGGGTATATCGCCCTCCAGTAACCTCCACATGTTCAGCTCTCTGGAAGTCCTCTGAATCTTGCCCTTTGGGGGTTTTATGGAGGCTTATTGATTAAGTCATTGGCCATTGGTGATTAATTTAACCTTCCAACTCCTTTCTCCTTCTCAGAGGTTGGGATTGGGCTAAAAGTCTCAACCCTCTAATCCTGCCCTGGTAGTTCTGGTGACCAGCCCTGTCCAGAAGTACCCAGGGGCTGCCAGGTATCAGTCAATTATTAGCATACAAAAAAACTCCATCAAGGCCAGGTGCAGTGGTTCATGCCTGTAATCCCTGGAAGGCCACCAAGGCAGGTGCAAGGCAGGTGCACCTGAGCTCATAGGTTCAAGCCAGCCTGGTAAAAATAGCCAGGTATTGGGCGGTACCTGTGACTCAAAAGGGTAGGGCGCCAGCCCCATATGCCAGAGGTGGTGGGTTCAAACCTAGCCCTGGCCAGAAAAAAAAAAAAAGCCAGGCATTGCGGCGGGCGCCTGTAGTCCCAGCTACTTGGGAGGCTGAGGCAAGAGAATCACTCGAGTGTGGCGCCTGTGGCTCAGTCGGTAGGGGGCCGCCCCCATATACCAAGGGTGGCAGGTTCAAACTTGGTTCTGGCCAAACTGCAACAAAAAAATAGCTGGGCATTGTGGCGGGCACCTGTAGTCCCAGCTACTTGGGAGGCTGAGCCAAGAGAATCGCCTAAGCCCAAGAGCTGGAGGTTGCTGTGAGCTATGACGCCACGGCACTCTACCTGGGGTGACAAAGTGAGACTCTGTCTCTAAAAACAAAACAAAACAAAAAAACCAAGGCTACAGGCACCGTGCAGCATGCCTACACAGACAACTTCATTCTATCTGTTCTCCTCACAGAATAGTCTCACATGGTCTATACCCACAGCTGCTCACTTTCTACACTCTGCCTTTGTCTCTAACTGGTACCCTTTGTCTTGTGCCCTGGGTGCCTGCCTGGCACAGAGCAGGGCAGGGTTCCTGACCAGCCAGACTCAGAATCTTGGCTTTCAGTCCTGCTAGCACCAGAAATTCTTCTGGCTGGAGGCCCTTTCCTTTCCCCGGGGCCCCACTTTGGTCTAGAAACCTGAGGTTGGTAGCACTATGACTTTCAGTTTCTTTTGTGAGTGTCTCTCATCTGCTGACGCCCTGGGAGGGAGACAGGACAGACACTTTAATCTCCATTTGACAGACACAGAAACTGAGGCTGAGACAATAGCCAAATACCAGACTGAGCAGCAGCAGGGCTTGGAGGAGATTTAGATATGGGGGGTTGGCTGCTCGAGGAATGGAAGTGCCCTCTGGCTTTTCCTGGGAGCTGTACTGGAGCACTGGCCCTTCCATTCACTACACGTTGCAGGACCTGCCTTAGGCCCCTCCTTCCCTGGCCCTCACTCAGGAGACAACTCCCAGGGATCAGGAGGGGAGCCAGGGCCAAGGAACTGGCAGAGCAGTCAGTAGGATCAGGTGTGGAGCTGGGCCCCCCCTTATGTGGACCTGTGTGACCAGATGTTTAGAAAGTTTACAACAGAGTCTGTATGTGGGGGTTCATTTATGCTACTGTGTATCTGGGACCACGGACAATTTCTCCACCTTGTCACCTTGTGTGGTTTAGATTGAATTGAGTATCCTTGGAGCTATAAGGGGTGGGGCTCTGTTTCAACAGCACCCTGGGGAGTACTGGGAGGAGAGGGTGGAGAGGAAAGTGCTGAGGAGTTGAAGAGGCTTCAAACTGGTTAGACAACTTCTGGAACCTGAGAGCAGTAGCTTAGAAGAGAGAACAGGTAGAAAGAAGAACAGGCTGGAGGCTGGATAGTCCGAAGGATTCAAGTCAGTGGCATGAAGCTATTGCCCAGCTGGAGAAGAACAGTGCTGCCTGTTGGCTCTTGGAGCAGGGCCTGGCCATGGGCACAGCAATTCAGAAGTAGGTGGACCCTAAGGTACTGGGGCTAGGGCAGCTTAGAGGGGAGGAGAATGGGGAGCCCAGGCCTCCAGCCTCCACCATCTAAGGAGGCTGAATTCCTCTGGGCTCCTCCCCATCTCCCCCTCTGCCATCCCTCAGGCACTATGGCCAGCCTGGGCTGGTTTTGTCAGGAGGGGAAACAGGCTGGGCACAGGATTAGCTTCTTGGGCTATATGATGAGAATTCACACAGAACCTAGTGCTCAGAAAGGACTCATGCTCAGTCTAATTCTCTGCTGTTGCTACCTTAAAATTCTGTATTTTTGCTTTTGCTTTTCTGAGCCAGTCTCACTCTGTGGCCCGGGGTAGAGTGCCAAAACATCATCATATCTCACAGCAACCTCAGTCTCTTGGGTTCAAGCAATCCTCCCGCCTCAGTCTTCCGAGTAGCTGAGACTACAGACACCTGTCACGGTACCCAGCTAGCTTTTCAATTTTAGTAGAGATGGAGATCTCGCTCTTGCTCAGGCCAGTCTTTTTTTTTTTTTTTTTTTTTTTTTTTTTTTTGAGATAGCGCCTCAAGCTGTCCCCCTGGGTAGCGTGCCGTGGCATTTCAGCTCACAGCAACCTCCAACTCCTGGGCTCAAGCGAGTCTCCTGCCTC